TATAAATCTGTTAAATAATTCTTTGGATTATTTTCTTGTAACATTTAATTTTTGTTCTAATTTTAATTTATTTAAACTTGAGAGTTCAATGTATGTGTATTTGTCAGGACATACATGAGTATTTTTTTTTTCCAAAAAAAAAAATAGTATTTTATAAAATGATAACTACTAAACTAATTCATTGAACTGCTACAAAAAAAAAAAAAAAAACACAAGGATTTTTGGGAGTTCCTTTTTTAAGTAATTCATTATCCAATTCAATTATTTACTCTACATACATATATATATACATATATATGGTGGAGAGACTATATTATATAATGGGTATATGATAAATATAATTTCAAATTTCTATTTACTTGATATATAGATAAGTTGACTTATAAAATTGTGAAGTACATTTTTATCAAACTATTAATGAAAATCTAACATATCTGGATTAACAAAATAAATTTCTTCTTATCATATATAGACATTTAATAATATATTTAATGCGTTTATATATATATATATATATATATAGCAAGGCAGATAAGGAAGAGTACTATAACGGTAAGTAGTTTATTGCTTGCCTATAAATTTCCAATTCTACACCATAATTGTTACCATAAGCCATATAAAGAACAATATCATAGTAAATCTTTAATTATTACTTTCTTTTACTATATACATGTAATAATACATACATACATGTATCAATATATATAATACCATATTTATCATAAACAATATAAGGATATAAATTTATGGGTAGCTTATTATAAATAGGTTTAGTATAGTTTTATATTATAATTATACCAATATCATTGAGACAAATTGGGTTTAATTAGTGAAAGAACTCAATCATGGAGAAAGGATCACCCTGCAAGAGCATCCTATTGTTATGTGGTGATTATATGGAAGATTTCGAGGTTTTATTTTTTTTCGTATTATTTATTTATTTTAATTATTCAGTGATAATGACGATAACAATAATAATATAATATATTTGAGTCGATTTCAGGCAATGATTCCTTTTCAAGCATTGCAAGCTTTTGGAATTTCTGTTCACGCAGCTTGTCCCGGCAAGAAAGCCGGTGAATTCTGTCGAACTTCCATTCATATTCTCTCTGGCAATCATCCTATTGTATGAATCTATCCTCCGTATACTTTTACACACATACATATATACATTTACACACATACATATGGGATTTAACCATATACTTTTTTTTTTTATATCTACTTTGTCACAGAATAACTTTGAGAGAATTGGGCACAATTTTATACTAAACAAAACTTTTGATGAAATTGAGCTAAGCAAGTACGATGGGCTGGTGATCCCGGGAGGGCGAGCACCGGAATATCTTGCTGTGAATGACTCTGTTGTGAACTTAGTGAGCAAGTTTTCAACATTTGGTAAACCATTGGCAGCCATTTGCCATGGGCCTTTGGTATTGGCAGCTGCAGATGCGATTCGAAGTCGAAAGTGCACGGCTTTTCTTGTGCCCGACACGTGCTTATCGATGCTGTGCATATGGTAGAGCCTAAAGACTGACTATATATTGCTGACGAA